TAAGAGAAAAGATGAGTATTTTCTATGTTCTAGAATATAACGTAAGCACTTAGTATGAATAGCCTCATTTCCTTCCTTCCTTCCTTCCTTCCTTCCTTCCTTCCTTCCTTCCTTCCTTCCTTCCTCTCTCTCTCTCTTTCTTTCTTTCTCATCCTCTTTCTTTCTTTCTCTCTCTCCCCCTCCCTCCCTCCCTCCCTGCCCCTCCCTTCCTCCCTTCTTCTTTTGCTTTTATTTTTAATGCAAAAGCCATTTATTTAACAGATGAGGAAATCAATGCCAAGACAAGCTCAATGATTTGTTCCATATAGCACAGCAAGTTAATGTCAGGACCAGATACAGTTCTCTGTACTATTACTCCAGGATAGCATACATTTAATGTTTCTGTTCTCAACAGCTGTCACTTTTCAAAATTTTCTTGCACCAACTAACCAAACGTTTGAGCTCTGTCAAAGAATGGAAGCAAGTTAGTAGATAATTCTTTCTTCTCATTTGCCCTAGTCACCTCTATCCAGGACCACTACAATCTCTTAAAAACAATTAGATAATTAATTATTTCAATCCTGATGTAAAACAGAAAATAACAAAGAAACATAAAAACCTCCTCCTAATGTATCCAGGTAGGAAGCTGTTTAGTGGTTTAGAAATCTTTCTTAAACTCCCTTAGGATGTGGAGTGTCTATATAGAGCATGTATAACTTAAAAAAACATAGGAAGACTCCAGATGTTTGAGTATTCAGTGGTATCCAGACTTCTTGTATATTATTCTCATTTTTGGGATTATTTTCTTAGTATTTTTGGTGAATTTTCCTAGGTCAGAGGTTTTGTTTTATACATCTGAGATTGGATCTTCTGCGTAATCTAATCTGCTCTTAATACTCCAAAGGGAGGTTTTGATTTCCTGTATTACAGCCTTCATCTCTAATAATTCCATATGACTCTTTGTATTTCCTCTTTCAGATCATGCAAGAACTTCCTCACCTCCTGAAACTCATTGTCTCTTTTCTCTTACATTTTCTGAGTTGGTTGTTTCTCCTCTCTTGCATCTTGGTTAGCTTTGTCATTATGAATATTCTAAATTTTTTATCTGACATTTCCATGAGTTTCATTATATGGTCTGTGGAGGATGAAGAGTTATTCTTTTCCCTTGGAGAAGTGATATTGTCTTGGCTTCTCATATTTCTTGTGCCTCTGTGGTGGTTTCTGGTTATTTGATAGATTATACTTTTTTTCCCCTAATTTTTAGAGTTAAATTCTAGTGTTCGGAGGCATGCAGGAGATGTTATGCAATCTCTTTCTGCTTCTGTTTCTCTCCCTTTGTTCAGAAGATTCCATGGGAACTGAGGATCACTCTGATCTTACTAAATCTTGGAGTCAGGAGGGCGAAGATACCAAAAGTTTGGTGTTTTCCAAACAGTGGCTTTAAGATAGGATGATATAAATATCTTTTAGGATATTAAATTCCCAAGTCAGAGACCATTCTTGAAATGTTAATGGAAGTTTTAATTTTGGGTGAAAGAAACATTTTTAAAAGTTAAGAGGAAATGGTTATGAGACTCAGAGATTAATTAAAGATTCATCGTAGTGCTTGCACTTTGTTGAATGCATAGATTTGAAAGTATATGGGAGAAAACATATGCAAAGAAAAGCCTCAAATTCAAAGTCAAATTCTGGAGTTGGAGGTAAAAAAGTGTAGAAATCCAGACTCGCAGGAATTCTAGAACTAAATCTTAGGTCATTGGGACTCCCGAGTTTATCCAAGTATAAATGATCTATTTGTGTGTCTTAGAGAGATCCCTAAGCTGTGAACTGTATTCTTATTTTTTTTTTTCCTAATGATTTATGTAACTGTTGGAATTTGGGACATGCTTTTGAATACTCAACAACTTGGTGTTTTACTCCCTATGTTATATCTAATATTAAGAGGTCAGTCACTTATCCCAAATTACATTCATTCAACACATCAAGTTATGAAAAACAATACATAAGGCAGCATATATGACTATTGGGTTATTCTTCCATAAAGGCAGGTAGTAGATTTCAAAGTCATAACATTATTAGATGTTGGAAAAAGTAAGATTGTAGGAATTGTGATCAACTGTAAAGCTTAAAATACCAGAATTTTTTGAAATCACCCAATACATATTCATTTATTCACTTACTGACTCACTCACTCATTCATTTTGCTTCCATGTACACACATACACATTCAAGACACAAATACGTAAGGTGTATTAAATGCCAATTTTCCTATTCTCTCAGAATTTCAGCTGCCGGTCTAAATAAATTAAAAATAACTTTAAAATAATTTTACATTCACATGCAAAAGGGGAAAGGAACATTTTCTGTGTAGTTTGTATGAACCAGATGTCTTATTTTGAAATTCTTATTTCTTTAGAGGGGGTCTTTGCTATAGGGTAAGTGTGCTTATTGGAGAAATGGAGAGAAACAGAAAGCAAGAAATCACCCTGTAGGGGGATGGCCACATCACAATCCCTTCTCCTCCATTCTTCTCTTAGATTTTGGGCCCCCACACACATTTGCCTGGCATGAGTTTTAAACCACTGGTTCTGAGACTTGAACCACGATTGACTATGTGGGAGTCCAGCAATATAACCATTATGTCATCGCTGGTCCCGACCTTTAAAAGGTACTATTATCTCCAATTCACATCCCAAAAAACTGACAGTTAAGTGTCTTACAAAGGGTTTAAAGCCAAATTGAAAGCCCAATGTGATGAAATCCAAAATCTATGCCCTCTTCACTATGGATTCTGTTTTCCAAACAAGCATGTATTTCCTGGGGACCTATTCTTTTGGGTGAGGATAATCATGTTTCTATGTAACTGTGTCACACTGAGATCATAAACTTCACAATATTTGCCATCAAATACTTTTGATTTTCATGGACAGTGCATCAGAAGGAAGCTGACTGAATGAACCTGAGTGAAATAATGAGATGATATGGCAAAAGGAGAGGTCATAGTTCAGTTCATCAATCCCAAACACCACCATCCTAAATTCAATGACATATAACTTTATTCTCATGAATGATGGTATTTTCCAGAGATATCTTTTTGCTTAAAGATTGTTTCTTGGGCTGGCCTTGTGGCCAACTGGTTTAAGTCCCAGCCTGAGTGGCTTAAAAAACATGAATATATGTGTATGCATGCGTGCCCTAAATCCTAACAAGATGAAGAAATGGAGACAGGACTGTGGTGTGACCATGCCGCCTTTGAGAGGTGCTTTCTTTCTCTTTCTCTCTCTCTGTTTCTCCCTGGAAAGCACACATACCCTGTGATAAAGCACAAACACACACGCACACCTCCCAAAATTAAAGTTTATATTTTCTTCCATGAGAAAGGGACAACATTCTCCAGCAGGGTCCCAATGCCATGATCCACCCCCAGCTTCAGTCCCTGGACAATAGCCATGCACATGCCTGATACTAGGGGAGGTTTCTGAATATGAACCTGGAACTTTCCCATGTGTGTTAGCCTCACGGAGTGTCTCATTCTACTGTTGTATGACCCTGGAGAGATATGTTTTATTAATGCAATTATCCAATTGATTTAACAATGCCAGCTTTATTCTCAGTGTTGATACATTCCAGATTATGCAGAATATTTAAGAAGAAATATAGTGTGCAAATATAGGACTCATTACATGATTACATAATTTTTCTATGGCATATTTAAAGAGTGCAATACCATTTAAAAGTATAATAAAAACAAATTCAGGAGAAGAGCCAAAATATTTTGTATAGTCCAAAGAACTAATATTAGCATTGAGAAAGCAAATAGCCTAAATGTTATCCAAGGCACCGCCACATTCTTTTCTCTGAAAAAAACAAGATAAAAAGAGCATTTTAATACCATTAAACTGTTTGTCAAAGTTTATAGCTAATTTATATATTGCTTATAAGTAAATAGAAAACTTTACTTTCACCGATGTTAATAACACTTCAAACAACAGCACACTACTGAAATCTTTTTAGCATTTCTGATTAAATAACTTGAACTGTTGACTTGCATTATACAAATAGTATATTAGAGAGGAAACTTTTCTAAAGAGGGGCTAATACTGTAGACTCCCAGTTGGAATTTTGGAGGCTCTTTTCATATGAAGAGTGCTGAGAATTCATCTGTATAGAAGGAAGGAACTGAAGAGACTCATAGACAACAGGAAGGAGATTTCAAAAACCTTTCCTTTTTATTTTGTCTTCAGATTAAATCATTTCCTTTCAGTGTGTTATTTAACTTTTTGGTTCCTTTCCTAGCTTGTTCTTCTATCAAACAATTACTATAGCCTCTAGTCAACCAAAACCATTAAAACAGGTAACTAATCATGTTATATTTGATATATAAGTCATGAAATCTGAAGTTTTTTACATTGCAAAATTTTAAAGAATGATTTAATTTATTATTATTATTTTAAAAATTTTTTACAGGGCATGTGTGCAAGAGAAAGGGGGAGAGAGAGAGAAAGAGAGAAAGTGAGAAAGCAAGAAACCAGGTGCAGGACTTGAACCATGGCTGGCCATGTGGGAGTTCAGTGACTTAACCACCATGCCAACCTGCTGGCCCCTTCATTAAAAATTTACTCTTTATCATGTTTTTGCTAAACTAATACAGATATGTGGACATTATTACTATGTTTATTTGCAAGGTGAAATGATTTGGGAGAACCAATTCTGTATATAAAATGTCTTTTTTATAGACCTAGTACATGTTATATTTGTGTTGTCAGACCATACAACAAACTCATAGTACAGGCAGACATAATTCACAAAATTAAATTTTGATTCTTAAAAATGGTTAAAATCTAGTAGTTATTAGTAGTAAGTAGCTGTAAGAACTGACTTGTTTTTAATAATCACTTTGATAAAACTTCATTACTTCCTCTGAAAAAATTTTTTTTTGTCTTTTAATTTAGGTATTATCATGACTTAGTGTATGACTCTTGGCAAATACATACCAAAAACTGAATAGTTAGGCCAACATCTTATGGTTCCCTTAGGCTATTAGTCTTGGCCTAGTGAGAAAACGACATTTATAAAAAGCTCTTATCAAATTAAAATTCAATTATATCCTCATTAATTATAAAAAATGTTGATCACCTTATTCAGGATTAAGACAATATATCTTACTATATCCTTATTGTATCGATGACTAAGTACTATAAAGTAAGCATTAACTTTGTCTTTGTATTTTCAACTAGACAACAATTTTTTGAATGAGCTGTTGAGTACCTTCTCTTCTGAGAGCTCTGGGGTAACAGTTGGTTCTACAGCAGACTTGAAAATATTAGTTGTGCTGGGTTTTGGTGAAGTAGAAGGCATGAAAACTCCTGCATTGTCATGCCTAAAATTTATTACTTCTTTTTGAAAATAAGGAATCACTCTTCCTGCTGGCTATACAGAATGAGAATGAAAATAAAGTGGTTATAGATTCAAGTACAAGGTCAAAACTGGACATAATAGAAAGCAACAGGATTACCATGAAAAGCAAGCATTATATACAAGAAGTGATGTCATGAGTCTTTTTAGATCATAAGCTATTTTTTAGAAAGACTATAAATGTCTATCAGCTAACATCATTGTCTCTTAGTACCAGCATTTATTTAATTTTAAAAATTTATTCTTTAATGTATATTTATCTTTTCCATGAGAGAGAGATAGAGTAAAAAAGAGACAGACATGCTCCCACAGTGTGATTTACTCCTAGCCTTAGCTAGCCAGGATTATGGGACACACACGTGTACCCAGTGTTTACTGGGGGAGAACTGAAGGTATGAACATGAGAGCTTCCCATGTGGCCTCAGCATCACAAACCATTGTGTTAATGCTGCCCCACTGCATCTGGCCCGAAGAGTACCTAATCTAAATTGGCAGAAGATTATAGGAAGAAGTAGCAAAGTTTGCTGATGGAATCATAATAGAGTTTGTATTAAAATGAACATTTTTGAAGGAACCTGTAAGTTGTCAGTTGTTGATTGCCAGGACCTAGCTAAGTTATAAGGAAACTTACCATCACAGCAGTTTCCGGGGCTATGCTTAAGAAGGGATCAAAAGCCAGGTGCTGCTGTCCTCCTAGTATGGCCTAAAGATCAGAAAGTTTTAAAAAGTCTAAATTAGTGGCATATAAAAATGTGCTTTTTTTGTCATCCAAAGTAGTTAAGCACTCCCCAACTTCTTAAATTATTGCCTTAAAAACAGAAATAATATTATAGTTTAGGGATGAGCAAGAGAAAAGCTATTTCTGAAGTTAGAAAACTGGCTTGACACCCAGTTCTGCTTCCATTCTGGAATTACTTTCCAACACTCCCTGCTAGGCCCTAATGTTCTTCACTTGAGCATGGGAACAAAACTGCAGAATGCTTACATCAGTCAAGGTTGTCTCTAAACCTGATGGAGCTGGAAAAACAAAACTCAACAACACCAAACAACCCCGATAACTTCATACTCTCATCTAAAGCAAGATCACTTTGCAAGTCACAAAAACACACAATGTCCTCACATCCTAGCTAATACAGTCTTTAGCTTCTTTACTGATTATTGCCTTTGCCTTGCTCCCTTATCCTTGTCTTCAAGGCAAGACTCCTTAGGATACTCAAGTATAGGCTATCTCCACTTGCTGAGAACAGTCACTCCAAAGAAAAGCAACACTTTCTTAAACTTTCCCCCAAATCACCTAACACAGGCCCAACTCCCATGAGTTGTTCTAACACCTTCCTATTAAAACAGTTCACGTTTCCCCATGTGTGTGCTCTCCTCATTTTAATGAGTGACTAAATCCAGCTTGATTCAATTAGAGATGTATTTCTGGTGGGTTTGATTAAAGAACATTTATAGACTGAATAGATAATGAGGCAAATAGTTTCAAAGTGCTTTTATATAATGAAAATTTTGCATTTACTTACAGGTTCTACTTGTTGGGGAATGTATCCAAACTGAGTATAGAATGGCATCTGTCAGATTTTTGAAAATGAATTAGATATGTTTTGGTGACTTTTGTCATAAGTTTTGGATAAATTATTATTTAAAATTGTTATGTTGCTTTAATACTTTTTAAAAAGTTTATATATTCCAGGTGACAAAATGAATTATTTTTAAATTATCAAAAATCTTGTTAAAACCATATGACTCTTAGGATAAAATTCTCTCTTTAAAGTAATACGGCTTATTTAGCATTAGTACTACCAGTTACTTAAAGCATAATTTCAGTTTCCTCTACTTTACAATGGTAGTTTTTAAAGCAGTAATCTATTAAAAAATTTCTGTTCTAACCGAAAGAATGGTAGTTATGTTTGAAACAAACGAGGGTATATTGGAAGTCTAAAAATCATAGCAGATTCACAGAATTCAATATGATACTTAACAGTATCTCAGAGCTAATGATCAGGACAACCATTTTTGCCTTTTTACTAATAACTACATATATATTTAAAAAAGATGATGCTAGATTTTAAAAGTGAGAAAATACTTCCTGAAGTGATTTGGCTTATGGCCTCTGATTTTATTAGCACCCATTCACTGACTTCATTGATTTAAAAATCTAGCATTGGAGCATTTCCAAATTATTCTGTACAAGTAATGTTAGGAGAGAACACCATATACCTACTGGTTCAAGTTGTTGAGAAGTTGCACTCAGCACATTCAGATACTTTTCTCTTTTTTCTTTATCTTCTCTACTCAGATTAACATCAAACATTTACAGTACCTGCTCCTCGAATTGCTGCTGTCCTGTCTGTGCAGGTGACTGTGTGACTGTTTGTTGAGACTCCCAGGGTAGGAACATGTAAATGGGATAATAGGATTGAAGCATCTGTTTGTAAGCACAGAAGTATATAATATTTCATTAGATCAGAGTAAACCATACTTTTCTGTACGTAGAAATGTTACATTATTAAATATGAACAAAAGAAAGGAAAAGGTAATGTTTCCCACATCTTAGAATAAACTTGCATTTTACTTGACTTCGATTTTAAAGTTGCTTGTTCAAGAACATTCAGGAAATTGGGGCCAGGAGGTGGCGTGGTGGTTAAAGGCACTGGACTCCCATATGGCTGACCATGGCTTGAGTACCAGACCTGGTGGCTTGCTTTCTCACTTTCCCTCTCCCTCTCTCTCTATATATATATTGCTCTGTCCCTCTCTAGTCAAATTAAAATAAATAAATAAATAAAGTTAAAAAAAATGAACATTCAAGAAATAAATAAGTCAACTAAATTAAAGAGGCTCTAAATTTAAAGGACATCTTTTTACAAATCGCTTTGCAAATACCTGAGAATAGCCTCTGATGCATTTTCCCTATATTTTTGAGAATTGTGATTTTGCAGAACATGGTATTAGTTTTGAAATTATTGAAAAAAGACATCTAATAATTTAGAAAAGAATGAAAAATAGAATAAAGGGTTAATAATTTACACTTTATTAAAATAATCCATATGGATTTAGACTTTTAGGAATATCAAGACATAGACAATACCAAATGAAATCACCTGCAACTTCCCCACTGGTGTTATCATCTATTTACTTATATTTAGATTTTTGTGTGTGTTTATAGTGTGAATGTCTATAGAAAACAAGAAACATAGTACATACATACAGTTTCGTATGCACTTTTGTTTCTTTGCATCATTAAGTACAAGCTTATATTAGACATGGGAGCTAAAAGCGACAATGACTATGGTTTTTAAGAGTATATTTTGTTCAGTGATTCTTAATCTTGGATAAGAATTAAAATCACTTATTGAGCATTTTAGAAGATAATCATCTTTGTTAAGTTATCTACTCATGAGGTTTGATTCACTAGTCCTGGAACAGGAGCCAGGCATTTATATTTTTCAAAAGTACCACCACAGGTCTTGATGTAAAGCCAAGGTGGGAGCCACTGGTTTAGTGAGTAAAAAAAGAATTATATTCAAACTCAGCTATTTACTTTCATTAGGATTGGGAATCTAATCTCTTTAAGACTAAGTTTCCTGATCCTTAAAATGAAGTAATTCTACTTGTCATATGTCTAACTATCTAAATGCTATGACATAGAATGACATAATGTCTAGACCTAACTTTTTTTTTTTAATGGGGGTGGTGGGACAAAATTCTATAACAAATGGTGTAACTTTTTATGGTAATGTCAATATTCTGCTGGTGAATAATGTAATTTAACTATAATCCTGTTTCTTTGAAACAAGGATACTATAAAAATAATTATCCTGATAGTTATAGTTTTTTTTCCATATTAATACAATAATTCTACTGGCTTGCATTCAGTTTTTAAAGATTCTTAGAATGAAAATTTCCACCATTTGATTATAATGGACTTAAATTGGAAATATTAAAGGATCTAGAAATATTTTGAACAGAATTTCATAACTTCCAAATAAGGTAGGCACATGTTGCTTATTTCCACATCATGTCATACATTATCAATTTAGTGCATCTACCTCTGAAGCAAAATTCAGTGTTGGACAAAGTCAGACCATGATATTTGTCTTGAGTTGTTCCAGAAGACTAGAACTTTAGATATAGGGACAGTATGTCTTGGGGCTTAATAAAGTTCTTTATTCCCGACCTAGCAATGCCCTAGAAATTCAGGGGTCCTAGAGACAGCGCTCAGCTGACTATCTTTAAGGAGTGTTAAATGAGCCCTACATAATAAGCTCATGGCAGCTCAGAAATACTGTCATCTAGATAGTGATATCACTGTATGTGTTTTTATAGCCCTGCTTGCAGGAGAGCTAGAGATGTCAAGGGACGCATCCTGGAGAGTGTATAGAGCTCTTGCTCTATGACAGTGCCAATCTATTAATTTACCTGTTCTCGCTCTTGAGGCATATTGACAGAGACTACGTAGGGCATCACCTGCTAAAAAAGAGTCATATATAAAGTTATCCTTGATTTTGTTACTTAAAGTTTTTGAGCTGCCTTTCATAGAACTAGCCACCTAAATTTATCATTTGATTGGCAGACTTCTACAGTAGAAAGCCACCTATTATATATACCATCATGAACACAAATTGATTTTTGAGATGGAATTCTCTTTTTTCTCTTGTCCCAGACTTGCTGTAACTCTTATTTGTGGTCATGTTCTAGAATAGCAGATTTGAATAATATTTTTCATATTGGAAATCAGAAAATATAAGAGAGAACTTTCAGTAATGTAGAAACCGTATCATAAAAAAAAATCTTATTGAATAATTCCTGCCTTATTTCAAGTTTGATTCATGTTCATTTTCACATTTAATATGCAATTATCTCTGTTCAAGACCACGAGATAGAAAAGGTCTGACTTACATGATTGGACCCCTGTTGCGTCTGTAGTGGTGTTTGAGATTGTAAGGGGTCCAGCTGACCTGTGTGGGTTCCTTGGGCAAAAGTGACCTGTCCTTGGAAAGGTATCCGATTTGGCAGCAGTCTGGCAAACTGATCTAGAGTTGATAAAGAGAACTGGGAGAGCCTTGGGAGTTGAGCTTGCTGTTGCTGTTGTACAATCCCAGAAAAAGGAGGAATCAATGAATTGAATGGGCCCTGGAAAGACACAAATCAAACAAAAAAGGGAAATATTTGTTTCATGCCAAAAGGAATTTAGAATCAGTCTTGAACAAGAAGGAGACAAATGTAAATAATTTTTATATTTCCAGTATTGGGTCATTTAAAAAGATAGCATCTAAATTCATTATAAGCCATGAAAATAATATTTAAAATGGCAAAATCCCAATAGTTTTGAGAAGTGTAAGACAGAGTGAGGAACTAATTTACAATTTAAAAGAACACAATTTCTGCGTTGCCAGGCTGACTTCAGATCTTGTTCCCCCAGTCCAGGCACCACTGGTTAGCTGATTATGATTGTGTCAGATGGTTAACTATTTCATAGTGTTTGGTATGTACTAAATCCTCAATTAATAAGTGTTCATCAGATTATAGTTTTATTCTAATCTTCAGACAATGATTATTTAAATATATGGTACAAATTTACAAGTTTAAAAACTGAGGTTTTAGAAATGGAGTTAAGAAACCTTTTTTTCTCATATGTAATACCACAAAGAATGAAGAGAAAAATGTTCCCCTTAAAATAATGATTGAGGCAGAGTTACCTGAAGCTGCAGTGGCAAAAGTTGAGCATTATTAAGATTCAGAAGTAACTAGAAAAGGAAAGATAATATGAAAGATTACCACACACGCTAAAATGAATATGGGCGATGTTTACTACACATACAGTGCACATGATAGCTGGTTGGTCAATTTCCTTTCAAAAGTGAGACATTTTCTCACTAAGCTTACAGTGATTAGATGTTATGGTTGAAAACAAGGTTGGAATTTAACCACCTCTTCCCTTCTGTGCCTGAAATTGCACAACTTTAGCCCATTCCAGTGGTTTAGTTAGTCATTTCATGCCTTCGTACACCTATATCCACCTGTACTTGGTGTGATTACAACAAAAAGAGATAATGTTGTCTCTGACTGACTAATTTACAGTCAAACAAGGAGGTAAAATAATATTGAAACAATGTTTTATTCAAAGTAAGACTGAACATTAGAGATGTATTTGGAATGGTCATAGAAGCTAATGGATAGCAGTACGGGACAAATTAAGTGAAGGTTTTTATCTTTTCCCACTTAATTTCCATTTAAAAATGAGATAGCTTAAATTACTTAGACTAACCTCATTGCTGTTGCTGGCAGACAAAAGGCGTTGTGGAATAAGCTAAAAAGAAAAGACAAAAGGAAAAACCAGAAATGGTAAAAGAAGAGATTGTAAGAGATTACATACAATGAAATTAGAAGTAACATGGAATCACTTACTGGGGCTGATAATGTGGCTCCCAGTAGCCCGAGAAGAATTACTACTTTCATCTTCAGATGATATACCTAAAAAATAAAGTCAAAATATTTAGCCTGAAAAAAGACTATCAAAAAGTCATTACAAAAATAATTAGCTGGTATTGTTCACTCAGAGGAGTAGTTTGGGAAATTCAACAGTATTTATTTTTATTTTAAGATTTGACATTTAAAAAGATTTAGAAATCTCTCTAATAAAACTCATACTTTTTTTTCTTTCCCTCAGAGCAGCTGTTTATAAAAATAAAAAAATTGTTTTCTTATCTTTGTAGCTTGACTGAAAGACTCATTTCAGTGTATATGATTAGTTGAATGCTCCAGGGAGTAAAATGATCTCATCCTTGTACCATTCTGCACTGGAGAGATTACGCCCTTCTCACCAAGGAAGACCCAGAGCTAGGTTCATAACTGGGTCCTTATTATTAAAATGTGGGTATCCTCTATGTTCTAAAAGTATAATAAAGATCAGACAGTACCAGTTCAATACCAGCTAATTTCCATTTAAAGTACAATAATAATGTTAAACTATATCAAAAATAAGCAACTGAGTCAACATTTTTCTAATTTAGAGGAAGAAATTGTAAAATTAAAGTGTAATAATAATTTATAGTGTAACTTGTAGAGGTATATAAAAGTTCTTAGTTCCCATCCTTTAGATATGAAAGTTCTTGCCTGAGTTCAAATCACTGACTCAACCAAGTGTTCAGGGTGACCTTTCTTTCTTGTCTGTCCTACAGTTTACCAATTTTGGTTCTTAAAATTATGAAAGTAAAGATTAAATATCTTACCTTACCCTTATGCTTATAAGAGAAAGCCAGACCATGCAAGGTCTGTGTTATTTTTTTCTCTCAGGTCTGGCCTTAGGGCTTCTCTTAAATTTAAAACCCATCTTTAGAAAACAAGGACCAATCATTTTTGAAAAGGGCCAGTGATTCAGTGGGTTTTAGATAATGGCTTAGCTAATAACCACTTTCCTAATGATCTAGGTGGCATATGGATACCCACAATTTCAGTGATGTTATTAAATTATCCCCTAAGAAATGTTTTCCTGTAATTATTTCAAGTTTATGCTTTAGTTATGACTAACTCTTCTAGAATAATTTCATTCTATTTCTTTTATCGTCCTTGAGTAATTAATTTAAAATGATTTATTAAATTTAAGAAGAAATGGGTGATTTTTTTCTTTATTTCAAGAGTAAAATAAAGAATTATTAAACAGAAAGCATAGATGTAAAAATCAAAACCTCATTAGCAGCATTAAGAATTTTTTAGTTTTTTGGCACTATATCAAGTAAACATAGGTTTACTTTGAAAATATTAGTAGATAGTCTTCTATTTATGGATTAAATCCTTAATTAAAAAGTGGTGAAATTATGAAAAATTGTCTGTGTGATCATGTTCCTTAGAATAAATCACTTTAAAAATCTGAAGCATAATGGCCTTAATTAATTTATTTTTTAAATTTAGTTTCATTTAAAATTTTTTTTCTAGAGAGAATTTGTGCTTGACACAGAGAGACAAAGATATATATATATATATAGAGAGAGAGAGCTGGAGAAAGCACTCTCTCATGTGGAATGCTCATGTCACAAACCCTTCTTGTCCATTTCTTCATCCTGTTGGGGTTTTGCTCATGGAGGCAAACATATCCAGTGTGTTTTTGTTTTCTGTTTGCTTGGTTTTCTTTTCTTTTCTTTTTCTTTTCTTTTTTTCCTTTCCTTTCCTTTCCTTTCCTTTCCTTTCCTTTCGTTTTTATAAATGTTTTTGCCATAGGGCATATACACTTGCCAGAGAGAGAGAGAGAATGAAAGGGAAATTGGGAAATTGAGACCCCCCCTCCCACAGCCCAAGGGATGGTCATGCCACAATCCCTTCTCCTCCATTTTCCTCTTGGGATTTTGAGTATACACCCACATGTGCACAGCCTTTTTTTAAGCCACCAGGTTTGGGATTCAAACCCTGGTTGGCCATTTGGGAGTCCAGAACTTTAACCACCACACCACTAGTTGGTCCCCCTAGTATGCTTTTTATATTGCCAAGTCTAGAACTTGAACCATTGGGTTGACCATTTGGGATCTGGCTGTATTAACCACTGAGTCACAGAGCCAGTCCTGTGACCTCTATTTTTTAAAATGGTGATGAATGAATGTTTTGTAGTTTAAAAATTCCCTTTTTTTTTTTTGAGAGTTTTTTATTTTATTTTATTTTTTGCTATAGGGTGTGTGTGCTCGCCAGACAGACAGAGACAGAGAGACAGAAAGTGAGAAATCACCCCCTGGGGGGATGGCCACACCACAATCCCTTCTCCTCAGTTCTCCTCTCGGGATCTTGGGCATGCACGCACAGGTATCCGCCATGAGTTTTTTAAGCCACCGGGTCCAGGACACGAACCATGGTCGACTACATGGGAGTCCAGAGACATAGCCATTACGCTAACTGCTGGTCCCCTAAAAATCTCTCTTTTGACAAATATAACTTTAATATGCAAAATAAAACCAATTGTTATTGTCTGTACATTATTATTTAAATTTCCTTCATAAAAAGTTTTGTTTATCTTATTTTGTTATTGTTGTTGTTAATCATAACTCAATTTTAATAGATAGATAGTCCAGAGTCACAAGTGTGATGATAATTAATTTTCATCATGGAAGAGTTCTTTGACAAGTTTAACCTTGATAACTAATGCCTTATTATGCAGGAAAACAAAGTCATAGCCTTTCAATCAATTTGTGTTTTTTAGGGAGATGGGATTCTTAGAGATTGCATGACTCATTAATTATAAAATGATTATATCATTTGTTATATATCTAGTCAAAAAACTCATAAGGTCACAAAATAGTTGAAATAGTAAGACTTTATTTAATTTATTTATTTATTTATGTTTGAGAGGTTTTTGCTATAGGGTGTGTGTGCTCACCAGAAAGAGACAGACAGAGATAGAAAGCAAGAAATCACACCCTCCCCCTCCAGGGGGGTTGGCCACACCACAATTCCTTCTTCTCTATTCTCCTCTCAGGATCTTGGGCACGCGCCCAGCGTGAGTTTAAGCCACTGGGTCCGGGCCTCGAACAGCAGTTGACTACATGGGAGTTCAGCGACATAGCCATTACGCTAATTGCTGGTTCCAAAAAGACTTTATTTTTAAAGAAGCAAAGTTATCACTAAAATTTTATATATTAGAAAGGAACTTCCCTAAGATTTATAAATGCTGTCTTTTTAAATTAGCTAAATAGACCAACCTAGATGCTGATGGCAAATGAAACTAAAGGTGGGTGGCTAATTTAACCAATTGTTACCTGGAAAATACAGTAGCCTGATTGTGTCTAATTAGGCAAAATCATTAACCTTTAATGACTTTGGCTTTTTCTGAATAGTGATAGGTTAAATTTAATATTGACATAAACTCTTGTCTCCTGAGATTTTCTATTGCATTCTGCAGGGTCTTAGGCAGCTAACTGTACTACTGAGCCAAGAAATTGTCAGGGCCAACCACTGAAAAGGTCAGGAGTTGTGTTACAGCCAAAACATAGTCAATTTAAAGATTATCCTGATGAATAGTTTCATACAGCAGCTTTCATCAAACTTGAAGACAGATTTCTGTCATTTAAAATAATTTTCCATTGCTTGAATATTCTAAAGAAACACAACCTAAACTCACCAGTTTTATAACTGTGAAGTAGACAGAGCACGCTTTGCTTTAATATCTGATAGCTTCTAACTCGTTGTGTCAGTGGAGGCTATGTTACCTCTGAATAGGAAGCAGCAAAGGATTTTCGTTTAATTGTCATCACATTATAATGTAGTTATTGTGTATGTCTGTCTGTCCCATTCGGTGATGTTGAACATACTCAGTTTTCCATCCCCATATCAGTCACCCAATAGGTAGTCCATTGAGTTTTATTAATTAATTGGTTTCTTTACTTGGGAGAAAAAAGTGTGGTACTGATCTAGACAAATTCTAGTCTATATGGATTAAGGTGCAGAGGCATAGCTGAGGAAATCCTGAACCATATTTTGTCACCATAACTTCATTATTTTGTTTTAGTTCAATTACCAGAACCCCAAACAACCCTTCACTGAAACAGAAGTACAACACATTTTATGCCAAGTATATGTGGCTGTTGCAATATGTACTATTGGAATTATCCTATCCTTGCTCTGTTCCCGTAACATAAATGATGATGCCTGTAAGTCAGTCTTTTAAAAATGTTTCCTGTGCTTTTTTTTTTTCCCCTTCAACTATTCTAGAAAATTGAGAGGCTTGCAAAGTGCCATTGGAAAGTAGATCAATATTCCATGGATCATGACAATGAACTTTAAATATTAGCACGGCTTATAATAAGAATTTTCATGTATATAAAGTATACTTTTTAGAAGCTTCTGATAACATATCAAGGTAGGCAAGTTAAATATGTTATTCTAAATTTAATTGAGAAAACTGAGTCACGGAAGGTTCAGTAACTTATTTAGCCATACAACAAATAGCTATTTTCCAGCTTCTATAGTCCATGTCCTTGCTAGCCTTTGAAAACAGAGAATTAGTAAAACAGACATGATTATTTTACCTTCATGGAAATGACAGATTTTTCCATCACCAAAAATGTACCAGGATTGTAGCTAGAATTCAAGTCTTCTGATTCAGTCAAGTAATTTCCTAAGACATCAAGGCACCTGAGTATAGAGGAGGGAGACTGGTACCATGACAGATAATTAACAGATAAAAATAATAAATGAAGAGAATGTTTTCATATATTGCCAGAATTGAATAGTAAATTTTAACTCACTGAGACCCAAAGTTTTGTGACTCTTAAGATTTCCTTCATTAGTAACTCATGGAATAAACATAGAAAATAAGCATGATCTCAAACAAATCTCTTCTATTAAATAGAATGCTTATTGTAACTTCTCTGAGACTTCACCGAAGTATCCCCATCTATTAGACATCCTACATAACTGGACATTAGTCATCACATATTTTCTTTGATGATATATCCTAGCTTAAGCTGGCTTGATTA